GAAAAACCGACTAATTTTGGACAATTTGAGCGATGAAGGCAAGACAAGAAGGGTTTTTACACATTCTGCATTTTTAAGTGAAAGTGGGTAGAGAGAGAAAATTGAGATTTTGACAAATGCCCTCAACGCCCCTAAGATGCTTGCGAAAAAATGGAATACCTGCTAGACAGACTTGGAAACGTTGTGATAAAGATACACAGGCAAAAGTACTGAAACAACTTTCATTTACGCAACACACAATGCCACTTCGCCTCTTTCACTAACGTAAAAGAAGCATAAATGGCTCGTTCAATTTGCACGAAAAATTGATTAATCAGCTGAGATCTCACGTTTTTTGAAGCTACAAAATGAAGGCCGTTGCCGGAAAAAGAAGAGCTGTAAAAGTAAGAAAAAATTGCTAATCAAGGTTCGTTCACAACAATAAAAAGAATCACCAGGATTCTTGAGATAAATACCGACCAAAACCAAGGTGCCAATTTTAATGGACGACTATATCTTATACTATTCAATTAACAACCCAAATTTTGTTTAACACTATGACGTTTCGTTATCTACAAAATACATTTTCTATCAACTTGCTTGGCATTTCTCTATACAAGCCATCAAGTTCTGCAGGGGAATGAGTTTCCATAGCCCAAATGTTCTTTGAGAAATCTAATACTCAATCGGATTTCGAATAGCATAAAGTGGTTGTTGGAAAAACAATGCCTGGACTATTCACAAACAGATTCTTTTCACGATTCCTTTAGCGCACATGAATTATCCTTCTTTCAAGATCCTGACCATCAATGCTGATCTCCGAGCACGCGATAGCAAAGACAAACAAGAATTATACTCTAATGCTATTTGAGATTTAACGTCAACCATACTCCGGAGCCACTTGGGCTAGACAGACTAGACCTAAGCGGTCAACAGGACACAAAGGGTACAGCGACGCAGGCTTCCAATGTGATGATTATCCAAGAAGTGATAAGCCCTTATTAGGCTCTTACTACCTTCTAAAGTGGTCCTAGCTTGTTGTCTAGAAATCAGCGCTCTCTGGTGACCACCAATGAT